CCCCGAGCCGCTGCTCCCGCCTCGCGGCCGGCGCCCCGACCCCCGGGCCCGGGCTCTGCCCGTCCCGCACCCGCTTGTCGTAGGCCCAGAAGAGGCCGGGAAAGTCCCTCTCCAGACTTCAGCCCAGCTCTCCGCCTTCCAAACCGTTTCTTGCATGGCACGCTGTAAAAGACGGGTTCCCTCTCCCTCCACAAAAGCAAGCGCACGCACAAAAAAAACCCCAGAAGAGCTCCGAAAATCCAGATAAGGTCAAAAAATTTCCTCAAGGGAAGCAGCAGTCTTGCCTTCCTCTGCAGGGGCTGGAATCCAGGAGAATTCTAAGCTGGATTCCCAAAACACAGAGCAGACATCAGGAGACTGTGTGGGCTGGTGATAGAACTGGCTTAAGAGTCAAAACAGACCGACCAGACCAGATCCCACTGCCATAATTGCACTGTGGTCTTGGGTTAATCAGACGGCAGGTACCTCAAAAAACAACCCCCCAAAAAAAAAAAAAAAAAAAAAACAAACCCCAAACAAAAAAAACAGCAAATTTTGTGTTCCTCAAGACAGGAACCAATGCCCGCTTTTTCGGTAGCACCAGAGCAACAGGTTCAAAGCCAAAGTACACTCCCAAAGGTTAGGTTTAAAAGAAAAACAAGTATTTTAAGGTCAGTGCAAGGATCATTTAAAGTCTTAAGAAAATGTATAGAATGCGTGTGTGTGTACTCTTAAGGTAAACCTTGAATCAAGAATCTTAATTAAAAAAATAAGCTTCTGATACCATTATTAGAACTCCTCTGCAACATTAATCAAGAGAAAAAAAAATCAGTTTTTCAAGTACTCTGAGAAGGCATGGGCTATACTTTAAAGATGTGTTGTATTTAACAGGAAGCTAAACCAGAGGTCATAGGCTGTTAGCATATTGGTGGACTTCAAACTTCACTCGATGCCAGTAAATCTGAATAGCTAAAGATTGCACTACGCACAGAAACGCACAGGAGCAATACCTTAAGCACATTTCTGCCATTTCACCAAAAGCTACTTTAACCATTTGCATTTCTTCTTCTGTGCTCTGACACATTCAGCATTTACTCACTTATTATTTAGTCTGATTAAGCTGGGTAAGATTTCCTTAGCTAAATGTATTTTACTGAACTAGTACCTTTCTCTTACAGAACTACAGCATCAATTGATTAGAAAGCAATTGATGCAGCTAATGTTATTATGCAACTAGTTATTGGGATAAAATTCAGAGAAAATATTTGCACTTCAAAAAGTACTAAAAATCTCTTCTTGTATAATGAGAACAGCTCTAATGAGCTAGGGATAAAAACACAAAATGTCAGAAAACATCATCTAACAAAAACCCCTTGTGAAATTTAATTGAAGTCACCATATTTAAATATCAAAGAACGAAAATGCATAATAAATCTTACTACACTGGGGATCCAAGTGACAGACTACATTCCTGGTACTATTGCTGGAAAATGATCTTTAACTGCACTTGTACAGCAGAAAATTATTAAAGAACTTTACAGCTTTTACATTCTGCTACTTTTGTATTAGTAAAGCAATGGCAATTACACAGTGGTATACTGAATGCAGTCTTCTGAACCAGACACATAGCAGAATATCTAATTTCAATTCTGACAGGAAATCAAAATTAGTAAAATAATGTCTTGTAACCCTTTAAGGGCTTCTGAAAGGGTGCTTTTTTTTTTCTTTTTTTCTTTTTAAAGAAACTATTTGTCTCAACTTTCTATTGCAGTAGGCAAAGAACTCGGTGAAATTTCATCAGCAAGTTCCAGCAAGAAACAGACACATCAGGTCAGAAATTAGAAAGAAATACTTTCTTCATGGAAGAGCAAACAAGGGGTCTTGAAATTATATCAAGATAAAGTGGATGGCCTTTCCAGCTGCCAGTTCAACTACAGTCTGTAGGCCAAACTGCATGAATCACAGATGTCCTGGTTTCAGCTGGGATAGAGTTAACTGTCTTCCTAGTAGCTGGTACAGTGCTATGGTTTGAGTTCAGTATGCGAAGAATGTTGATAACACTGATGTTTGCAGTTGTTGCTCAGTAGTGTTTAGTCTAAAGTCAAGGATTTTTCAGCTTCTCATGCACAGCCAGTGAGAAAGCTAGAGGGGCACAAGAAGTTGGCACAGGATACAGCTGACCTAAACTGGCCAACTGGTGTCACATGTAGTTTAGGAACTGGGAAGTGGGGGCAGGGAATTGCCACCGGGGGACTAGCTGGGTGTAGATCGGTGGGTGGTGAGCAATTGCCCTGTGCATCATTTGTACATTCCAATCCTTTTATCATTGCTGTTGTCATTTTATTAGTGTTATCATTATTAGTTTCTTCTTCTCTGTTCTATTAAACCGTTCTTATCTCAACCCATGAGTTTTACTTCTTTTCCCAATTTTCTCCCCCATTCCACTGCGGGGGGGGTGGAAATGAGTGAGCAGCTGCATGGTGCTTAGTTGCTGGCTGGGGTTAAACCACGACAACAGAGGACAACATATGGACACATACAATTGTTGTTGAGATAAGGAAAAGGGTAACTTACAAGATGAGTTATCACAAATAAAACATTACCTTTCCCCCCTGTCCCCCCCTTTTTTTTTTTTAAAGTTAAATCTTTAAAGTGGACTGAAACATCTGATAATGCCTTTATATCTATCTTGATTTAGGTCCAGAGAATTCAGATTAATTACCGAAGACATTTTTTATATGCAGCACAAATGTAAAAATACACATTTTATTATGTACATTTAGAGGTTACAGTTAATTTAAATTGATACAGTTTTTCCTTCTTCAGTTCTATCTTTTGGTTCATGACATTCTGCTGCTGCTTCCAAATATTTTTCTTCAGTGACCTGCTAAAACACATCAATTTTGTTATATTTTTTTAAATTATTTAATTCTCCTTGATCCTGGAAATCCTCCCTCATCCTGTCACTGTAACAAGAAAGGACAACCTACAAAGGCAATTATTGTCGCCAAAATTAAACAACCTGAATGACAAGCATCTTCAAACTAATTTCATAGAAAAATAGCATGGGCTAGGCTCTGAACACATCCGTGGCTAACAAGTTGCAGTAGACATACAGCACTTTTTTTCTTTCTCTTGCCACACAACTAAGTAAAATACTTGATCTGAAGGCTCCAGAATATCTGCTGTTTAATTCTTATGAAGATTTCCTACATTTAAGCATGCCTTGATAGTGAGTCTCTCATTATATGTGGCTTATGATATTTTATAGTTCCATTTATCTTAAAAACTTGCCTTTTGCATTTACTCAGTCATTGTAAAGCTTCTCTTGGATAAGTATACTTCAACTTTGAAATACTGGTTGTTTAACAGAAGAAAGTTTGCAAGAAGCTGTTATTTTCCACATAGGTTTTAAACAGGCAAAAAATACTCAAACTAGTGCATTTATGCAGTTTACTGAAATAGCATTCCCTTTTATCTCCACTAAATTCCGCCTAGGTTCACTCAGTGGTATTACATTTTATCCCTGCATTTACTTATAAGAAACATGTTCACATGTGTTGTCTCAAACCTGTGGTAGAAAACTTATTACCTACAGTCTAGGTAAGTGTAAAGACATTGTTCCAATTTTTAGTTTTCTTATTTCTTGTTCACAATTAAAAAATGAAAAAATATTTAAATTTTACACACATGATACTAATATTAATTCTAAAAACGAATTTGAAAAATACTAATATAGATTAAAGTGATAATTAACAACAGCTTAGAGATATTATAAAAAGCATGGGGGATTCTCAGAAGCAGACAGCTTCAAAGCCATACGTTGACAGTCTGATATAATTTGCTCCAGTTTTTGTTAATAGTACAAATTATATCAATTGAAAAGTATATGTTTTTTTAAACAGTATAATGCATTTTAATAACCAGGCTTCAGAAACAGTACTAGCACATCCTCTACTACACAACAGTTAGATTTCCTATGCATCCAATTTTTCTTCACCTGTGAACATTTCCACTCTTAAAGCTATGTTCTTGAATATATTACACATCTCTAATCATTGAAATTCTACTCTGTCACAACATATCTTGATATTTGGTAAGCTGTACTTCACCACTAATGAGACTTACCAGCCTCTTCGATCTTTCCAGCAGTTTGTGCCACACGGTGTGGTGAGCCTGTATTAAATGTCATTAAATGATGTTAGTGGAGGTAAAAAAAATCTTATCATAGAATAGATTCTGACAAATGTACAGAAATGCTGGCACAAAACCATAACAATCCCTAATTCAGATGTTACAGCTTATGATTTCAGTGTCCCATTTGCCCATATCCCTTTGGGGGACTTGAATAAATGTCTGCTGATCACATCCATTCATTGTGTGGAATCATTAAGTGGGTAATGGCCAAAAATGGGAATTAAAATCTTATGATGAGGAAGGGAACACAGAGATGAGGTAAGGAAACCAGTGCCCACTTGTCCCTTGAAAACTTCGGCAACTGAGACAACAGCACATGTGCTAGACCACAGGTCAAAAACATGAAAGTCAACAGGAATGGGAAGAAAGACTCCTGCCTCCACCTATAGTTCTGCAAAGCCTTTGTTTAAGACTGATTAGTGCTAGGACTTTTTTGTTATTGTTGTTAAGTTTTACTCTGGTGTCATGAAAGACTTTGAAATGGTATCCTTTCTCAAGAGTATAAATTCAAACTTCTGCTCTTTCCTGAATCTGAATAAACACTGTCAGCAGCCTCAATTTCAGAAGATCAGCAAACACAACTAAGACAAGGTGAATGAAATATCCATGCAGAAATTGCACAACCAAAACAACACTTTCAGTTTCTGATTTCACATCCACAATAGTTCCAGGAAAATGAATCCCAAATATCTAGCATAGTCATCATCATGGGCTTTCCCTTCCTGCTACTGTTCTCACCTCTGAATTACATTCAGCTAACAGCACAGCATATAATAAACATCGGAATGTAAGCCAAGCGCCCTAACTCAAAGAAGGATAAACCTGTACAAAAATGCATGTTACCTTCAAATGGATTGGTAGGGACACACCCTGGAACCGCCTTATCAATTCAGATTGGTTAGTCTGAAGATTATGGGCTGCCGTTATCTCATACTGAAAACAGAAACTTGTCCTTGGAATATGAGGGCCTTCACTAACATCTACAAAGTCACCAAACCTGATGGGAGAAAAAAAACCAAACAAAACAACTTGATGTCAAATATATTCAGAGAGAAGTACAAGCCTATTTGTTTTTATTTTTGATTAGCAAATTCCTATCTACCAAACAGATGAAAGAAAATCCACAAAAATCCCAAACCAAATCTAAAAAAATCCGCAGTTCAGCAATTGTGTTTCCTGAAGCAAAAGTACAGGTCACACAATTTCCTAAAATGAACTTATGAAATTTAAAGCTCAAGTCTAGAAAGAGAATTCTAGGTTTAACAAATCTTTGAAGCCATGTTGGCTTTAGAAGTGAGTAACTGTCATTCACCAGAAAAAGATTGGTCTCCAAGATCACATACTTTCCACAGTACAGTGTTTACAACCTGCACAGGCATTTCCCTTTCAGGTCTTGGAAAACTGCAAATCAATTAAGAAAAATGAGAGACAAAAAGATGTACAGCAAAAGAATACTCAGAACAAACCTCTCCCAGAAATCAAAAGGTAAGCCCATTTTCCCTCTTATTGAGCAAACTATACAGTTGGAGGAAAGAGAGAACAGACAAACTTCATATTAAAATTTCAAGAACCATCACTGCAAAGACATCTGTTCCTTTAGAGAGACATGGACTCCAAAATCAAATGCAGAACGATTTAGATGTCTAGAAAACTGAATATCCTACACTAGCCTAAGCTAGTCACAAATTATTTTATATGCCTGAGATACAATACAAGCTTCCTGCCTTCAGCCTAAGAACTTTGTATCTTACACTGTATCCCAGGAGCCAGCTCCATTCTCACCTCCGCCACTACAGGGCAGTAGCGTGCCAGTTAGGAAGATCTTGAAAACTTTGGAAGAAAAATCCACTAGAAAATGCTAACTCTTGTTTTCAAAAAAGTATTTGGTTTGTATTTTATTTAACCTGTCAAGCTCCAGAGATTTATTTAGATTTTATTTAAAAGTATTTAAAACAGTAAGACTTCTCTGCCACTTACCACCTTTAACATAACAAGAAATAGAAATGTAGCAAGATCCACCAAGCACTAAGTACCACAAAACAGTGGTTGTATAAAAAAAAAACACCCACCCAAACAACTTAAGACACAGACAGCAATGAATACAAGTGATTTCTATATTGAAAACCATCACAAGTAACTTACTCTTCTCACTCGCAGAGAGTACTTGCAATACAATCAAATCTTTCAGTGAATCATTACAGAATGAGTTCAGTTTTGCTCACCTATGTAACGTTACAATTCCTTCCATATTCTGAGATGCTTTTTGTTCTATCATCTCCATTTTGTATCTGAACATGACAAAAAAAAGATTAAAAAAATCCTCACCTTTAACACCTAGTTCTTGTAGGAATACATAAGAGATCAATTTAAGGATCATGCTTAAAAATTATGCTCATATTTATGTGAGCTTTGAAACAGGTTTTAAATTCTTAATTTTATATGACAACACATATTGCCATGTTTCATAAAGCATGTCATACAGACCTGTTAGTCTAACCTCAGTTCCTGGAAAAATTATGGAGAAGATTATACTGAGGACTGTTGAAAGGTATTTAAAGAATAATACAATCATCAGGCACAGTTAACACGAATTCACAAAGGCAAAGTCCTGTTTAACTAATTTGATATCCTTCTATGATAAGGTCACCCACCTAGTGGATGAAGGTAAGGCGGTGGATGTAGTTTTTCTGGATTTTAGTAAGGCTTTTGATACTGTCCCTCACAGCATCCTTCTGGACATGTTGTCCGACTGTGAGATGAGCGGGTTCACGGTGCACTGGGTGAAGAACTGACTGAAGGGCAGAGCTCAAAGGGTTGTAGTGAATGGGGCTACATCTGGCTGGTGACTGGTCACCAGTGGTGTTAGTCAGGGCTCAATTCTAAGGCCAGTTCTGTTCAATATATTTATCAACAATCTGGATGCAGGAGTTGAATGCTCCATTAGCAAGTTTGCTGATGATACCAAACTGGGAGGTGCTGTTGTCTCTCTTGAGGGACAAGGGGCCTTGTAGAGGTATGTAGATAGATTGGAGCATTGGGCAATCATCAACTGGATGAAATTTAACAAGTCCAAATGCCAAATTCTGCACCTAGCACAGAGTAATGCTGGGCACAAGTACAAATTGGGAGAGGAGTGGCTGGAGAGCAGCCCTGCAGAAAGGGATCTGGGGTGCTGGTCGACAGCCAGCTCAACAGGAGTCAGCAGAGTGCCCTGACAGGCAAAGAGGGCAAACTGTATCCTGTATACAGTATACAGTATCTGTACCTGTATACAGTATCCTGTATCCTGTATACAGTATAATCAGCCGGGAAAAAAAGGCTATTTTCCTGCTGTATTCAGCATTGGTGCTGCCTCACCTTGAGTACTGTGTGCAGTTCTGAGCCCCACAATTTAAGAAGGATGTCAAGGTCCTTGAATGTATCCGGAGGAGGGCAAAAAAGCTGGTGAAAGGGCTGGAAGGCATGTCCTATGAGGAGCAGCTAAGGACTTTGGGCTTGTCTAGTTTGGAGACAAGGAGGGTGAGGGACAACCTCATTGCTCTCTACAGCTTCCGGAGGAGGGGAAGTGGAGAGGGAGGTGCCTTCTCCCTGGTATCCAGTGATAGGATGCCTGGGAATGGTTCAAAGCTGTACCAGAGGAGGTTTAGACTGGACATTAGGAAGCACTTCTTTACTGAGAGGGTGTCAAACACTGGAACAGGCTTCCTCGAGAGGTGGTCAATGCCCCAAGCCTATCGGTGTTTAAATGGCATTTGGACAATGCCCTTAACATGCTTTAACTTGGTCAGCCCTGAATTGGTCAGTCAGGCAGCTGGACTAGATGATTGTTGCAGGTCCCTTTCTACTGAAATAGTCTATTCTAGTCTATTCTATTCTACGTGTATGTTATAGGAGGGCCACACTCTCTCAGCGGAGTTTTATTCAGAAAGATAAAATGAACCTACTACTTCAAATAAAAATCAGTTTTTCAAGTCACATGTAAGACTAGAAGACACTATTAGATCACCTAAACTGATTTTATGCAATGTGTGGTCCTCAACAGCTGGTCATCTGCAAGACAGCAAAGTTTTCTCCGTTCTTTCTACACACATACAAATACACATACAATGTCTAAAGCTATTACCAAGTCAGCTCCCACCTGCTGTCAATATTTGCCAGCCAACATGGCAAAGAGATGATAGTAATGTGACATAGGGACTAGCATCTTCATTATTAAGCTAAAAAACTAGTTATTTTTGCAACTTTAGCTTTATCATAATTTTATTTTGGTTCACAAAATGATAAATTATTTAACATTTCCCCCCCACCTCTCTCCAACCACCAAAAAGCTGTGGACCAGAGAATTTTTTTCCCAAAACATTGCTTAAGTGTTTTTTTCAGCAAAGAAGACTGGAGTGTTTTGAACAAGCCTTCTTTTATATCACAGGCCAGAGTATTTTATTCATTTTCCCCCTGCAGAGCTCAGAAACAGCATTTCATCAGATCTTCATTTGAAGATACCAAGATATGAAAAACCTACATTTCCCTGAATAGGAAAGCCTTTCAGCAAAGTAACTAGCATGCCAAGTCTAACCACCAGAGCTTCAATTTAAAAGTAGTGAAATCCTGAAGCTCACTATTAAAGTAGTCTACAGTCTTTCCATTTGTCACAAAACTACATCCAGTAAAGGTGCGTGGTGTTGGCCCCTGGAGAGAACATTAAAAATGGAATAAGGTAGGGTGACAAATAGAATGGAGGCATGTTCATTCAGAGTAGTGGGAGAAGTACCTTCTTACTTCACCTGTTCTGTCTTACTTTAGATTTACAAAACCAAGCAGAGATTTAAATGAACTTCTAATTGCCTTTCTAAAAGAAAGGCAAATTCAGACACTTACCTGTTATGCTGAAACATTTCACGTGCTACTTTTACTTCTACATGCAGTGTTTCAAATGGCAGGTCTTTATCAATTAGCTTTCTGGCATCCCTTGTAAGAGAACGGAAGTTGTCCTAAAAAACAGTTCATACCTATAAAACTGTCACCACTGTTTCACAGCTGTTTTCACAGCATAGACAAAGCATAGGAAACACTACATATTAGTCAAAACAAGAAGGTTCCTCTACTAGAAAACCTAAATATAAGAATATTGCTGTAGGACTGTAACTCTATTGATCAGCAACAGATTGCTACAGATCATCAATGTTTCAATGGACTGATTCAGTGCCCAGTCAAATCAATAGGCATTTTTCCATCAGAAACAACATATATTAATTGGAGTTAAACTTCTTGGGTTTTCCCAACATGATATATACACATACAGTCTACATCTTGTTTCCCAAAGTTGTGACTCCACTTATAAATGACCTCTATCGTGATGGAAACGAAGGAAAAAAAGGTACTGAATAATTAATAAATAGAAATTCATCACCTTGGTCCAGAATCCAAAGCTCTGCATACTCAAATTTATTGATAAATAAGAAATTGTTATTAGGAGAAATTACATTTATAATGTCATGTAGAAAATATTTCAGACTAAGTTACTTCAACTACAACATCATGTTGAAGAGAAATTCTGCATTGTACCAATATTGCTTTGCTAGCCATACATGCCTCTGCTGATATTCAGGCATGAGAACAAGAATAGGCACCAGATGAGCAAAACATTCCTGTTCACACCAGCAACCAAATGGTTATGAGACTTTGAGGTTTTAGATCATTAGATTTACTGAAGAGCATGAAATATAAGCAAGCTATTAAGGAGAGCTTCAGCTGAGTTTGCTCACAGTTCTTTTACAACAATAAGCTGATTATGCTGTAAACCACTAGGTGAAAATATACATATTGCACACATTTTTATTTTCAGAGGGCTCTACTCACACAAAAACTATGGTTGCATCTACATTACTAGGCAAGAGTGGCTGAGTAGGAGCAGATCTGCATGGTAATAAAGATGGCACTGAGGTCCCAACAGCCACATCAACTATTTTTGGAATTGTAGTTCAGACTAGAACTTACTCTAGCCCCACAGACCTAAAACCTGTAAGCATCTGGAGGACAGGTCAAGGTTTAATTTCATCTGAAATGAACCCAGTCCGTGTGCTCTGAGAGCACTCTGCAATGAGAGCCAGTATGTGGAAGATGTGGAGATTAGTTTCCAAAGAGTAATCCTGACCTAAAAAAAAAAAAATACTAGTGTAGATATACCCAAGAAAAAGAAAAAAAAACCTCAGTGCCTCCTCTCCCCCATTAAAAAAAGAACCATTGGGCAAGGATGCAAGCTATATAGCTTTTCAGGCAAGAAGTTATTGTGCTTACGTTTGTTGGTTTCCAGTCATTCAGCTTATTGTCCAAAATTACATCATAACAGAAAGCTCCAGAGATCACTGCAATTCCAATAGAAAAATACTCATGTTTGTAACAAAGTATGTATTTAATTGTCAAAAAACATTCTTATATCAAAATGAGAAGAAAATCAGAATGATCTCAAGAAATCCATCATAAATTTTCAGCTGCAATTATACAGTCAAGTGGCAGATAAAACCTCTATCATTTTCATTTTATTTCACTGAATGAGAAAGTAATTTGAAATGAGTTTTAATGCAATGTCAGTATAATACAACCCCATTAGAGAGAAAAAAAAATACTGCTTCCCAAAACTGCATCTAACTTTGAAAGGGAAAAAAAAAACCAAAACAAAACACACTTTGAAAACATTTCACATTTTTTCCTTTGTATGCATCATATACTAGAAGTAAATCTGCACTATTAACTTGTAAAGAGGAATTTACTGCACAGAGAAATCTGACAATATTAAAGCTGAAGTAAAATGTTTATCCATGACACAGGCATGGCACAAATTTCTGATAAAGGTAACACAAATTTCTGTGATAATCATTAGAACACTCTTTGTGTATATTTATTCAGCTATTACCATCTTAGAAATCAAGCTTATGACCCCAGTAAGTGCATGCTATTTCTATACATACAGTATAATGACATAGCTTAGTGTATGAAAGATTATTGCAAATCCCGGTAGAACTGAAATACCCACTCTACTCTTACCAAACAAGACAAATGCTGAAATTGCTAAAAAGCGAACCAATTGTAGGAGGACTCCACATGACCAGCAACCAACCTTCTTATACATCAAATGCATAATCACACAGGTTTTGTTATCTAAATAACCTCCTCTCTTGTGCATTTTCTCACTTTTGTAAATCTTAAATCAGGTCACAGATGAGCAAAAGTTGTTACTAAGCCTGTCTGTACTTCAGTAATCTTCCAACTTGATGTACACATCGTAATTTTTAGTAACTCAACTGCTCACAAGGTTATGTAGTTATTAGAGCAAATTTCAAAGAAACACATCACATCTTCTAAACATCTTACTCATGTAACTTCTCAATAAAAAGGTTATGTACTTAAGTTACTAACTTAACCTATGAAATCCTAAGTGGCCTGAAACCCAGTTGCCACACAGACCAATTTTCTGTACTTAGATAACAAAATTGTTTTCAGCATGATTACTATAAATTAAAGGCTACAACAACAGCATGTAATACACGTATCAATACTAAGTACCGTCAATCATTGGAAAAGAAGCCTCTGGTTCTTTGGTAACACCATTAGACACTCACTTAAGAAGCAGCAAAAGACAAGACAATTAACGTAAAACAGTTCTATCACCTGGCACTTCTGGAGCTTTAATCAGATTGACTGAGTACTCATCTTTGAATGCCCGCTTTAACACACATGCCATGATCATGGCACAGGAACGCCAATAGGCCTATAAAGAAAATTTTAAAACACAGATTTATTATCTAGAAGCTAACAACCCACACCAGATGAAGATCAGCTACTTATTCCAAAAGAATACCAACATCTAACTGAATGACACACAAACCTAGCTGTTAACCCAAGCATTGCTTTCTTTAATATTTAAACTTCTATTTGGAGATGATTCTCCATATAGAATCAATCAAAAAGATCAAAACTGCACTTAAAATGCAAGCCAGATGTCTCCCTGGAGATATTTAAATCTGAAATCATAGAATACAAGAATATAGGTTGAAAGGGATGCCCGCACATCACCTAGCCCACACCCTGGTCCAACTAATGATAACCATTATGTGCCAACCAACTATTAAAAATATCTGAACTTTCACAAAAACAAAGTTCAAGAGAGCAGATGGACATGGAACTGAAAGGGGCATACAGAATCAAGTGGTCATAATCAGGGTCACCTACAATGGGATACGATGCAGACTTACCTTGTTTACTTCCTCTGGATCGTCATCTTTGAAAGTAAGGAACTGAATTTCACATGATTTGGTCAAGGGTCTGTACATATCCCAGACTTGCCCATCCACAAGAGCTAGAACGGATTTCTTGCAATGCCACTCACTTAAGTCTGAAGAGAGTAAAGAACGTATTACACAGTTATTAACCATATTCTTCAGAGTCAGCAGTTTAGACTCCTGCATTTATAACAACAAACTGCAAATTTCACTTTCATAAATCACTTGGAAGGATGAGCTGTTAACAGTCTCCAAAAATTAGCTCAGTTTCTACTGATGTGTTTTAGTACAAATGTATTTTAAACTTATCAAACACAAGTATTCTGAATGCATGACTGTTAATTTGGTCATTAAAATGTCAATAGTATTAACACCTCAAATTGTGATGACAAGTACTTCAATTGGCAGCACAATTTTCACCATCAGTGGCACAATGTTAGTTTAAGAGTCCATTCACTTACGCATGGCACAATTGTATGGAGTAGACAAAGCTTTGTTCATTACAAACACACTGCCAGGGTGCGATTTCCCAGTGTATTTTACTTCGATTTTCTCAATTCGTGGATGAAGAGACAACTGTCTCTCTTTCTCTTTGGTGAAGAGCTCATTACGCATGTGAATCACTTCATCTGATGTCAGTCGAGAAACAGTTGGTGTGGAGACGAACCCTGGTAAAAGGAATGATCTAAAATAAGCAATAAGGAGTTTTCAAAGCCTCTTTATAAGATGTTGGTTTCTAAAGAAAGGAAGACATGCCACTGCACTGCTGATCCATGTGTCAGTCTCAATACGCCTAAGGTGAGCACTCCAGCAGCTCTTACTGCCCGCCCATTCATTCTCGGTCCCTGCAAAGCCAGCATGAAGTCACAGCACGAAGCGCTGAAGCGACGAGTGCTTAATGACATTCTCCGGCTGCAGCGGCCCTTCCCTCAGACCGGCCAACTGCCCCCGCGGACCGCGCCCGCTCCGCGCCGCTGCCACCGCGCCCCGGCCC